CGTGAAGCTACTCATGGAATGCCACCAGGATGAATTTCATAAAACTCTCATTGTCACTTATGGAAACCTTGCCTGGTTAAACTACCACATGAAGAACTACACAGAATGTGAAAGTTACCTGAAGAAGCTTCAGAAGATGAATGAAACCTTTCCAACTGAGTGTTCATCTGTTCCAGAAGTGCTTGGTGAAAAGGGATGGACTTTTCTTAAATTCTCACGCAAATATTACAACATAGCCAAAGAATGTTTCAGAAAGGCTTTAGAACTGGAACCAGAGGAAGGCGAATGGAATGCTGGTTATGCCATTGCTCTGTATCGCACCGAATACAAGAGTTTCACTCTGGAGAATTCGCCTGCAATAAAGCAACTGAGACGGGCCATTGACACGAATCCAGAGGATGACGTTCTCAAAGTCCTCTTAAGCATGAGACTGATTGTTTACAAAAGGTACAAAGAGGCCGACAGTTTGGTAGAGAAGGCTTTAGAGAGATCTCCAGATCACCCACATGTCATGCGATATGTTGCGATATTCTTCAGGAATCAAGGAAGTGTGGACAGGTCAATTGTTCTTTTGAAGCGAGCGCTTGTAAGCTCACCCGATTCAAGTTTCATACATCATCAGTTAGCTCTTTGCTATAAATTTAAGAAAATCCAACTTCGGCAGGAGGGAAGTCACCATGCCAAAGGGTCAAGAATTCAACAGATTCGCGATCAATGCATCTATCATTTAGAAAAGGCCACCAGCCTGACAGCCTCCTTCATTTCTGCAATGAGCGATCTAGCGCTGCTGTATGGAGAGAACCAGGATATGTCACGGGCTGAGGAGTTGTTTCAGGTCACTTTCAAAGCAGCCAGAGAGAAAAACGACAATCTACATGTTGTCAATTTTTATTATGCTGAATTCCAGCTCTACTGCCACAGATGTGAGTCGTTAGCTATCAAACACTACATGGAATGTCTGAAAATGAGCCCGGATTCAGTCGAAGGGAAGAGAAGTGCCTACAGTTTAAAGAAGACTGCTGACAAACGAATTCAGAGAAACTCGCTGGAAGGGGAGGCTTATGGGATACTAGGGTTCCTTCATAAGATAAAAGGGGAGAAACGTCAAGCCATTGAGTGCTATGAGAAAGCTCTGAGTTATGAAGACAATGATGAGTTCCTCAGTAACCTTAGTGCACTCAGGCTGTCCTTACAGTAAAGTCATCACATATTATGTGCTTACACTATCAGTTGTTGTACATAATGTAATATGCATTTGATTGTGCTTCATGTACTGACACTTTATGGCTATTTATTCTATAAATGTATAATGAAGATTAAGTCAGAAAAAAATAATCAGAAAATATACTGTACTGTACCGTTATGTTTATGTTCTAAGATTAAAGTAATAAAGCCTAACACCTAGTTGGCTAAAAATATTTTACGGTATTTCTAAACTGTCATTATCCAAAGGCACTTTACACTGACACCGTGTCCTAACTACACGCGACGCCATAAGATTCCAGCTTTGGGTGTCCACACCAAACGCGACGCGACACCGCGATGCGACAGAGTCAATCAAATATCACAGCCAATCAGAAGCGTGTGTGGGCGGGCTCTTTCTGCAAGCGCTCTGCACTCGCAACGAAATGGATACGTTCATAATCGAATTCATAAATATTAAACCTTTTAAACATCATTAAATGTACATACTGAGTGACTGATACCATCTGGAATACACTCGTTGGTTCGCAGTGAGTCCACAGTTTTAACGGTCATCTTTGCTTTAATTTATTTTCAAGATTAGAAATATAAATCATTAGATCTATGTTTTGTTCTAAAACAAAACTATTGTTGCTTTCAGCATGGCTATATATAAGGCCACGCAATATGATATTTAAATGTTAGACACGTTTATCTTTGAATAAAACACATAATCACCTGAGATTATCTACTGTCAAATAGTTTGAACGTTGTTGTTCCAGCCGCAAAACCTCTGATTAACATGGAAAAGATACCTTTTATCGCGTGTCGCGGTGTAAGAGCTTAACAGTTTAAATAAAATTATAATATAAAAATAATGCTTGTTTATTAGTCTGGTTTTTTTCTCAAGCAGTTGTTTGTACAGATCAAAACCTATTACACGGGTAATGTTGGCCATAAGAAAGGTAAATAGTTTCCTTTCGGATCCCTAAGATAGTGTAATGTAATGTTTGCATTTCAGTGCGGCATGAATTTTCTTCCATATAGCAAACAAGTGAAATTAAACGTAATTTTATGTTATATGTTCCCTCCACGAAAAAAAAATGTCATAGGCTAAGAAATATAAGGCACTGATAAATAAAACATGTACCTTTAAACCTATCATCCAGCTACCTCAATCATTAGACAGCAATACAATCCAAACTAGCTATAGCTGGCCCAAGGACATTCACTTATGTCCTTAATATTTAATTTGTGAGCTGTAGAGTGTAAAACTGTGTATTTGATTACATTTGTTTGTATTTGATTACATATACACTGTGTGTATTCGATTACATTTTGAGGTGTGGATCACATTTCATTTTTGCACAGTGGCTGCATTGTATTACTTTTTTTTTTAATTCACATTTCATTTTTGCACAGTGGCAGCATTGTTTTAAAAATTTTTCTCTAGAATTTAAAGGGGTCATATGGTGCGATTTCAATTTTTCCTTTCTCTTTGGAGTGTTACAAGCTGTTGGTGCATAAAGAAGATCTGTAAAGTTGCAAAGACTAAAGTCTCAAATCCAAAGAGATATTCTTTATAAAAGTTAAGAGTCAACCACGCCGGCTTGTTCTAACACGCCCCCACATGTCTACTCAGGATGTGGGAAGATTTGCATAACGCCACCCAAATGTTCATGCAAAAAAAAAAAGGCATAACTTTGATTCTCACTGTATATTGTTGCTGCCGCCGCCATGTCGTGGAGATGCTGTGTGTTTCGTTGTGAAAGCGAAACTACTTTGTTTGGCCTTCCAAAAGAGGACACACCTAGAAATCAGTGGTTAAGTTGTATTTACAACACTGTTCCAGAACAGTTCAACCCAAATATTCAGATGTGTGCTGCGCATTTTATGGAGGACGAGGACTGTTTCCTGGGAGAGTAGCCTACAATGCCGGTGTCTGATTCTATAAAGTGGGGCAATTCCAACTGTGCAAGGACAGTCTGGGGCATCTGACTCACAGCCTGTAAGTACGTTTTCATATTTACAGAATTTGCCACTTGATGATTGAAACGCGAGTTTTGAGCAGTGTAGAGTAGTGCTTGTTGTTTGTCGTTTCTCTGATCACAAATGCAGACATGGTTTTATGTTTACGCGGCACAATACGTAAAAAGACAGCAAGTCATTATAATCAGTAATTATGTCCCCACTGGATGCAACAAATGGGTTTTACTGGTTTTGTCTCGTCGCACCGGGACATGGCCTCACAATATGGTAAGGGGCGTAACATTTCCGTCACACGCGGACAGTCTGGGGCATCTGACTCACAGCCTGTAAGTACGTTTTCATATTTACAGAATTTGCCACTTGATGATTGAAACGCGAGTTTTGAGCAGTGTAGAGTAGTGCTTGTTGTTTGTCGTTTCTCTGATCACAAATGCAGACATGGTTTTATGTTTACGCGGCACAATACGTAAAAAGACAGCAAGTCATTATAATCAGTAATTATGTCCCCACTGGATGTAACAAATGGGTTTTACTGGTTTTGTCTCGTCGCGCCGGGACACGGCCTCACAATATGGTAAGGGGCGTAACATTTCCGTCACACGCTTGAGGTATTCGGCCAATCACAACGCACTGCATAGCTGGCCAATCAGAGCACACCTCGCTTTTCAGACCGATGAGCTTTGTAAAAATCGGAGCGCTTCAGAAAGGCGGGGCATAGAGGAGAAACAATAATGTACAATATGTGAAAAATAATGTGTTTTTGAACCTTAAACCGCATAAACACATTGTATCAAACCAAATACACAAAATAATGTGTTTTTTTAGCAACGTCATATAACCAATTTAAACTCATGTTCACTTTCCTTGTGGCACAATTTCTGCAGGTTCTTAATGAAAAGGCAATGACATAAGTCAATTGCATTTACCATTGTTCTTTCTAACAATACTTATGTGTTTTAGCATCATGATTGCAAGTTTTACAGTTCTTCTTCAAGTACACAAAATATAAAATAAACTGTCCAGTTAAAATGTAATTGTGACTATAATATGACCATGATTTGATAGCAGATTCTGGGTCACTAAAGGCATAGTCCAGTCAAATATGAAAATTCTGTCATCGTTTATTCACCTGTACGAGTTTTTTTCTTCTTCTGTGGAACAAAAAAAGAAGATATTTTGAGGAATGTTGGTAAGCACACAGTTGATGTTCACTATTGACTTCCATAGTATTGGGGGAAATACTGTGGAAGTCTATGTGGATCAAAACATTTTTCAAAAGGTCTTATTTTGTGTTCAGCAGAAGAAAGAAATTTGTACAGGTTTGGAACAACTTAAGGGTGAGTAAATGACGACAGAATTTTCATTTTTGGGTGAACTATCCCTTTATACTTCTTATTTAATGCAGCTGAAGACAAACATATTAATAATAAACTGACTCTGCTGGATCACATGGGATATGAGAAAATAAGAAGAAAATAGCTCATTTGATTAGACTTGAGCACAACTGTGATTAGGCCTAAAGGCAGGACAAGTACATGTGAATTTTTTGTTATACCACATGTCCTTCATCACTAAAGTGCTTGGTGAGAAGGCCTGGGTTGTTGTAATGTTGTCATGAAACTTTTATGGGTGAGTGGAATGCAGGATTTATCAGCAATTCAACAACTCAAGTGGAGAATAGAAACAAACCTTATTTTAGGATGTAAGGAGTAGCTCCTACAAAGCATACTGTTTTCCAGGTGTTATGTGTCTTTTGTACATCTCGGGAACAGACTGGCAGTAAACTGAACGGGCATGACAGGGGCATGACGCATCTTTCAGGAACTGAAAGTAGTACGCTGCATACTGAGCTAGAGAAACATCGCTGTCCCGCTCATATACTTTTCCTCAAGATACAAATAAAAGGATGTCAGAGATGAGGTGAGCACAGTTTCTAAATCTGAACTAAAGATTTATCTGGCTTGATTATTTGTAACTAAATGACAAACGGGAATGATAACAAAGGCTGGAAAGTTCTGAAATCTGACCGGGAAGAACTGAGGAGTAGCGTTAGAGGTTAGCTGTCGAATTTCAAGTTAGGTTTGTCGTTCTAACTGTTCAGATTATTGGCTACTTCATTCTCAGTTACCATAGTAGCAGTACTGTGGTAAGAATAAGAATAATTTCCTCTTGTATAGACCCCTTTTCAGTTAGCAAAGATTGTGACACATTGTGAGTTTTTTTTAAGGTGCGGAGTTTAGGGGGAGGCAGAAAGATTCCCCTGTTCTGACAGGAGTGGCCTGACACACACACCAGATAGAGAAACCGAGCGTGTATACTATAGTAAATAGAAACTGGGGCATATAAATCTTTAGATGCCTATAATACTAACAGTGGCAATTGTAAGCAAATGCAACTACCTGTTCTCTCTCTCTACAATTGCACTTATAACAATTATAGAAAGCGAGACGACACAAACGGTTTATTTTATGTTTAGTCTCTGGTCGTGAGTTCCCCAATTTCTGGTTAAGTGAGCATGCATGAGAAATCTTTAGACTTGTAACCAAACCATAGCCTAATACCAACAAAAGACAATAGTTTATTTAACCTTAACTGATATGAAGTAGGCTATGCGCTGCAAACGCGAGCATTTTTTTATGAACATTTCTGTCCAGTCCGCTCGTTTTATTACCACAGCTGTCGTGTTTTTTTTTTGTCAGTCAATGGCAGCAGGTATGCGATAAAATTTCAAATTTGACCATCTGACACTCAACAACACCACAAAATGAAATTTTAAGCTCTTTATGTAGCCGACTCTGTGCTGGTTTGTGTTATCCCTTTGTTTAGCCTCCAGCCAGAGCTAATGCTGTGACATAACTGTGACGTCGGCACTAAAAGGGTCTAAAGAGCTAATAAAACAGTTCATTTTGAACGGATGATTTAATATGAATGTTTTCATTGAGACAATAATTGTTATGATTGTGAGTTTGTGGGTTTGTAAGTCTTGCACCCAGCCGCAGCAGAATTGTTGATAAGCTTCTAATGACTTAAAGCTTCTGAACTCTTGCATTGTGTAGGCACTGATGCCATAAACCAGGTAATTGACGATGTCAGGGTATGTGAGAGGTGGTAGTGTTTCTGGGGTTTTTGTCCATTCTGTAACTTGCAGGTCGTACGGGTCGATATTATTAATGCCAAGCAGTTTCTCTAAATAACGCTGTTTAGCGGTGTTATTTAGTTTCTCCCGATATAACCCCTTTCCTTTCGCTTTCTCCTTCTCCATTTCTTCCCATAAAACGGCGCAGCACGGAATCCTGCTAAGATGGCGGCAGCGTGCAGGTTACGTCGCTGCCCTATGTACCGTGACGTCACATTCTCATTCTCTATTGGCGGCCTGCAGTTATCCCTTTGTTTAGCCTCCAGCCAGAGCTAAAAGGGTCTAAAGAGCTAATAAAACAGTTCATTTTGAACGGATGATTTAATATGAATGTTTTCATTGAGACAATAATTGTTATGATTGTGGTTTAGAATAAATTTGATAACTGTTAAAAAATATTTTTTATTAAATGTGTAGTAGTTTATTAATAGCTTTATATTAAGGGACACTTGAATGAGACGAAAAATATGAGAAATTAAATTTGTATATCAAAGGGCCTGTTACCTGGTCGCTTGATGCTTTTTACCATCACCCTCCTGAGGCGACAGAAAAGCTGTCTTCGTGTAACAATAGGGGTTACAAGACAAAAAAAAACAATTATGCGGTAATTAATTTCGTCAAGTTTATGATTATGGTAATGAATGTTAAATGAAAGAGTTGTATTGTCTGAATCAGAAGGCACTCTCTTGCTCCATTTGATAGCCACACAAGCTTTTTATTCTTCATTTTAAAAAGTAAAAATGAAAATTTCATGGCTGATCAGCACTGCTCATTATATCAGCAGCTATGATGCTGCAGCTCTCTCCTGATTTCTACTGAAGCCTATAGAATTCCAAAGTTTCCAAATAAATAAATAAATATACAAAGAAATGTAAAATAACAAAAATAAATGAGTGTTTTACTTTTATTTCCTTATTTATGTATGGTTGTATTTTCACATTTATTAATTTCCACTTTTGTTTATTTCTAAATGTGTTTATGTATTTATATCAACATTTGTTTATTTCCTCATTTCTTTGTCCATATGGTAATGAAGGGGGCGTGTTTTACTTCAGGCATAGCAATCGAGCTCAGAGTTGTGGGCAAGGAAGCTTTGAAAAGCTTTGCAAAATTAGGAAACATTAATGTGCTATTTAATTTGCAGTAGTTTCAAACACACTGATCAATATGCATATAGACTGAGCTGTCGTGTAAGTTTCATCAGCAATAAATGCAAGCTCTTATCAGTCACATCCAGTTTATTTACATGAAATGTGATTAATACTGGATGATTTAATGTGCACACACTTCTGTGTCAAATGTGTTATCAGATCTGATTTACTGAAGTTGGGGTTTCTGTTCGTATTCAGCTAAATACCAAAAATCCTGACCGGACATTTTATCTGGAAAAGAGTATGTATGTTCATCCTATAACTGTTACATACAGTTATTTTGATATTTAATTACTTAAACCAAGGTATACGATTTTGGTCATATCGCCCACTTCTAAGCCATTCATCCATGGACTTGAACTACTCAAAGACCTCAAAGCTTCTTCCTGGCTTAAGCCAGAACTCTGAGCTCTATTGCTATGTCTGAAGTAAATCACTCCTCTTCATTGCTATATAGACAAAGAAATGTAGAAATTAAAAATGTGAACATAAACAAATGTAGAAATGAATAAATATATAAATAAATACATAAAAACCGTAAAAAAAATACATTTATACATAATGAAATAAACGTAGAAAGATTTATTTATTTAGATTAGATTTTTGTGTGTGTTTTTTAATGTCTTTGTAAATGTATTCATTAATTATTTTGGCAACTTTGGCATTCAGCACCGGGACTGATCAATCCCTGCATGGAAGATTTACGAGGTCGCTTGCTGGATAAGGTGTTAGCGGTCAGCAGGGGGCGTGCTCTCTGCATCCACATTTACTAATATTGTGGTAGGACCATAGACTGTATAAAAACATGGACGTAGTGTCTGTGACGTCACCCGTAGGTTCCTACAGAGGTTTGACTTTGAGCCTCAAAGTGGGCAGAGCCGGCCGTTGCCATCTTGGCAGCGCTTCACCGCGTGTCACTTCCGGATAATCGAAAATGGGCAAAGAGGCGGAAGCAGGTTGCTGAAACCACGCCCACCTAGCTCGACGGTGGTGACAGCAGCGGCAATCCACCTGTCACTCAAGTGGCCACGCCCTTAATTATGCAGAAATGTAATGCTTAATATAAACGGATGACTTATAAAAAAATTCACAGTTGTCATGAAGGGCAAAATTAGCTATATAAACCAAAATCATTTTTTGAACCAGGCTGTAAACGTTTTTTTCTGCTGTAAAGTTGGGCATTTTAACATGGGGAGTCTATGGGATTGACTCCTTTTTGCAGCCAGCCTCTAGCGGCCAGTTGATGAATTACAGTTTAAGTCACTTCCTTGTTGGCATCACGAGAGAGAGCGGGAGGTTGCCGCTCGGGTAGGACATATAACCTACCATAAAAGTCTCTAGTTTAAATTATCATTTAAATGTAAGTCCTGACTAAAAAAACAGGGCGTTTCCATAAAAAACTAGGAGTGTAGTCCTGGCATCTTGGCCAAATGTATCAGTCCATGTGCTTGTGGAGTTCAGGAGATTCTCCTGTCACTCTAAAGCACTTTGAGTTATATAATGTATAAATATATGTCTGTGTGTAATTAATTACTGTGGAAAGCTATCACTATAGCCACCGCTATACATAAACATTCAGAGAGAAGGTTTTCTCTGTGGTGGTATTATTATTATTTAATATACAGTATTTTTGTCAGATATTATTTAAAACTAAATAGTTAAGGGGGTGGGTGTTCACATGGGTGAACATGAAATATAATATAATATATATATATAATTATTGGAATATATAATTATTATAATAATACAATAATTAATTTGTTTTCTTGTTAGTTCAATCCAGGACAGTTTACAGTCGAAACTGGATCAGCTGGAGTGTCACTTCACTTGGGACATTAAAAAAGATGATCTAGTCCTAACAAATATCCTCAATAGGCTTGAGGAACAGGTCAAGTTGGGTCTAGGGATGGAGCAAGGAGTTGCACGAACTCACTGCTCTTTAGGATATGTGAAATTCCTTCTTGGGCGCAAAGAAGAGGCTCTTACTCACCTGCTGAAATCTAAGACACTCATTAAAGAAAACCTCGGGGTCAACAGTGACAAGACTCTCATCGTCACCTATGGAAATTTTGCCTGGATAAACTACCATATGAAGAACTACACAGAGTGTGAAAGTTACCTGATGAAGCTTCAGAAGATAAATGAAACATTTTCAATCGAGCCTTCATCTGTTCCTGAGGTGCTTGGTGAGAAGGGATGGGTCATTATATGTTTAGCTATATTTAGTAGTTTGTTATTGTTGTATCTTTATTGTATAATACTCTGGATATTTAAACCTTTATATTCAAAACATTTTCATGAAGGATGAGATTTAAGGAGCTGAAGATACAGAGAAATGTATGTGTCCATCGAATCTGATATTGTTACTGATATTAATAAATGTTGTTCATAGATATTTATCCTATTACTGGGGTATTATTTAAAAGTTGTTGATTACAGTGGCTAAAAGCAGCACTATGGATTTTAACAGTGGTTCATATAGATGATATTGCAGTTGTAATTTGTTCTATTTACAAGTTACTTATTTTTTCCTCTGTTGTTGTTGTTTTCCTGTTTTCTTATCTTTTGACAAGTTGACAAATTCTTAAGATGGTAATTATTTATGAGCATCTGCTGGTTGATTTGATTAGTAGCATGCATACAAACTTATATTAGCCTATTTCTTCAGCATTTTGAAGAAGAGAAAGAGAAGAGAAATCAACTCTAGAAACTATTTGTCATCCGTAGAATCCTTGAAGAACTGCTTAGTTGTAGCAAACTCATGATCATAACAAAATACATAACTTGTCAAAAATGTCAGACCATGACATGTACCCTTTATATCTGAATCTTACAGCTCAGAGCGACTGCCCAGATATCTAGAGATCAGCACTGCCCTCTACTGACTTAAATAACATACTACAACTGGAGCTTTAGTTATCATAACCTGCATTTGTAATTAAAGGAAAACTCACTGACTGCTTACACATTACTATGAAATTTGAGAGATCGATAGAGAAAATATATACAATGTAAGTCTTGATGTGTGTGTTTTTAAAGATTGCTAATGTAGATGAGAATTTTTTTGTCGAACAGAAAGTCAATAAAAGGTTCGAGAATTTTTATACACATACAACTCCTCTATTAATTAAACATTTTTTAACCAAATTTGATTAAACAAATAACTAGACAAATGAAAAAAAAATTCTAATTGCTATCCCAATGCTATGAAGTGGGTGGTATCATTATCATCAAGTCTTTTTTTTTTAGAAGTATAATAGTCTACTTGTTTGTCTTCACATGACACCAGTTTTGGGACTTTGCTCAGGCTGTTCTTTTGGTTTCTCTGACAACGACGAATGACAGTGACTGAGAACAGCAGAAGAGAACTGGAGATCAGGGCGAACCCACTCAGAAAGAATGTTGCCGTGTAAGTCCCTGTGGTGTCTACCAACCAACCTATGTGAAAAAAAAAAAGTTGATTACCTCATATTTTTTTTTTTATTAATAACCTTTATCCTTCCAAGAAAATAACAGTTTTAATGTGGTGAAATGAGAGCAGGATGGTTAATGTGTTTCTGTTCATTAATAGTTAACCACTTATCAGGCTATTTTAACAGGGCACATCATTACAAAGTGACAATTGTGGTTAAGTTTTTTTTCTTGTCTTTAAAGAACACTCCAGGTAATTTTTAACCTATTTTTTTATGTACTGCATCAAGGGCATGGTGTTGATTACCACAGAATATAATAACAACTCATCACAGTGACAAATTAATGTGTATATAAATAATAATTTGAGGCTCTTACCTCCAATGGGTGGGCTGACCAGATAGGGAACAGCGTGGAGGAAGTACACAACCCCAAGAGCTGAAGAGAGGTATGTTGTCCCTACAACATCTGACGTTACCACAGGAATGAGGGCAACATAGGCGCCATCAAAGTACCCATAGAGCACAGAGAATGGTACCAGCAAGACAAATGTGTGTAAGAGGGGGATAAAAAGACAGCATAGTCCCTCCATTCCCACAGCAAACATGTAGCATATATTCCTGTACTTCTTCAGACATCTGGGAGAGATACAGAAAGTGTTAGTCAGCATGATCAGAATCAACCATTTTTGTTTGTTTCCCTACAACCTGAGCATTTTTTATTTTTTTTAGCTTTTTGACTTCTATGAATCATTTATCAGACAAGAAACCATGACATGTACTCTTGTAAATCTCAACTCTAAACTGACAGCTGGGTCAATGATAAATCTAAAAACATGTTCAAAGGTATATATAAATAATAATTTGAGGCTCTTACCTCCAATGGGTGGGCTGACCAGATAGGGAACAGCGTGGAGGAAGTACACAACCCCAAGAGCTGAAGAGAGGTATGTTGTCCCTACAACATCTGACGTTACCACAGGAATGAGGGCAACATAGGCGCCATCAAAGTACCCATAGAGCACAGAGAATGGTACCAGCAAGACAAATGTGTGTAAGAGGGGGATAAAAAGACAGCATAGTCCCTCCATTCCCACAGCAAACATGTAGCATATATTCCTGTACTTCTTCAGACATCTGGGAGAGATACAGAAAGTGTTAGTCAGCATGATCAGAATCAACCATTTTTGTTTGTTTCCCTACAACCTGAGCATTTTTTATTTTTTTTTAGCTTTTTGACTTCTATGAATCATTTATCAGACAAGAAACCATGACATGTACTCTTGTAAATCTCAACTCTAAACTGACAGCTGGGTCAATGATAAATCTAAAAACATGTTCAAAGGTATTTAAAAATGTTTTCTTTGTCTTCATGTCCATTTCATACGTTTTAGAATTTTTTTTTTTAAATGGCTTCAATTTAATGACTCTAAATGTGTAATATATTTTCCGTACACTTTGAATACATGGGTGCCACAATCCCCAGTCACCAGTCTATTCACTATCCTCTATCACAGTCACCAGCCCAGTCCACTGGGAACTACATTTCCCAGCATCCCTTCTGGTCAACACCTGAGCTCAGCCCTGTGCCCACTCTTGTCCCCGAGCACAGCCCAGTGCCTGCTCTCATCCCAGAGCTCAGCCTAGTAAACTTTCAACCACCAGAAACCTCAATTAACAGGGCAACCAAGTCAGAATCTCCAGCAATCATGAGTGCTAGACCTGAGTCTCCTGAAGTCATAGCCCATAGGTCAGTACCCAATCAGATTGTTCCCAGCCTAGAGGATTCAGAGTCCCTTCTGTCACTGATTATTCTCTAAAATACCTGTGAATAAAGACTTTGTTGTTGACGTTACATCTGAGTCTTCTCCTTCTGCACTTGTGACAATGGGAGTATACACATTTTAATCATTATTTATTTTATTTATTTGTCATTAATATTATTTTCTTCAATTTTCAAATGTTCTTTTAATGAATTCATGATATCAGGACAGTTTTATCACCATGCCATTTTTTACCAAAATATTTTATAAATAAAAAAAATAATAATAAAATGTTAATCAGAAAATTCATGCAAAAGTTATTGCATGTGTATTAAGATCTAGATAAAATGATTGTCATGTCATTGACCCAGCTTTTTGTTGAAAAACTAAATCTGTGCTAAGAAAAATTGATAATCAGATCTTAAGAAAAGAAACGACATGTGGCTCAGTCAATAAATTACCTATTTCTGTTTTTGAATGTAATGCAATACTAACATAGGACAAAACAACATACCTCCTGTCAGTGAGCCAGCCAAATGTGATGTTGCCAATGATGTCAATGACCCCAAGTATGGACATCAGGAAGGCAGCATGCTGATGACCGACACCTACATCCAGCGCATACGGTACTAGGTACACAAACGGCAGACTGCACCCACTGGCCAGCAACAGGAAGGAACCTGCCAGCACCAGGAAGTCGGGCATGAGCAAAAAGTGGTATTCCTGCATGGACTGAAAACCACGTTGTTTAGCATCTACTTCTAATTTATCTCCCACAGCCTTCCCTGTAGGAACGCTGTTCACTGTGGGTGGCTTAACACCATACTCGCACTCGGAGTCCACTGGAAGTGGACAGGCCTCCTTGTCTTTTAGAATGATGGTCCGTAACAGAGCTCCACATACACACAGGTTAGACACAAAGCCTCCTAAAATAAGGAGGGCCCCCCGCCATGAGTAGTGTTCGATTAGCAGCTGCACTACTGGGGCAAGGATGAAGGTCCCGATGCCACTCCCAGACATGGCAATGCCATAGGCCAAAGCCTTCCTCTCACAGAAATAGATACCTACCATGGCAATAGCAGGAGTGTAGCAAAGGGCAAAGCCAAGCCCTAAAAAAGAAGAATATAAAATAAAACCACTACATACAAAGTACAGAACATGGGTCTACAGGTCAGTGTTTTATTCTTAGGGCTCTTACCAGTTAACACTCCCAGGGTAAGGTAAAGATGTTCCAGACTGGTGGCGAAGGAGCTGAGGACTAAACCTATGGAGGACAGGATTCCTCCTAGTATTACAGCTACACGGCATGACAACCGATTCCCGATCAGGCTTCCGAGTGGAGCTGCAAAAAGTAATGTGAATAAACGTTGTGCAAATCATATTGAATAATATAAGAAAAAATCATAAAAGCTAAAATATTTTTATTATATAGAGTAAATATTTAAATAATATTTACTGTAAGCTGGGTTTCCATCCATGGAAACAACAAGATATGAATACAATTTCCAAAAGGTGCATAAAAATGTAAGCATACACATTCGCTTTAGGTGGATTTTTTATTCAGTAAGAAGGAATAAGCTTCAACAAAAACACATTTCTGAAATGAATTCATATGCACATCAAAAATGTCAAGTGACATTCTTCCAACCACTAAGCAAAAATAATATCATCAGATTGTTTTGTCTGTTTTAAACGGCCACAAATTTTTTAATATTACATTACACATTTTGCAATATTACATTACACAATGTTCATTAAAAGAAATATTCAAAATTTTTTAAATTTAATAAAAGAGTCACAGTCGCAACAACTTCCATTATTATTTTGCATCAGTTTCCTCAGAAGTGACGATTTTGTTATATTGAACACATGGGATGGAAATGCTTTACTTGGTAATTGTCTATATTGTGATTATTCCGCTAATGAGCCACTCTCTCATACTACTTGACATCATACAGTATTACATGAAATACAACTATGTGCCTCTACAGACTCCTACACAGCCCCAGAAACATATCAGTCATGTGATAACAGAAAACATGTCAGCCAAACACAATATCGGAAAACTTTAAATAATAACAGCATTTCTTACGTCTTTTGTTTACTAGTCAGCTGCCTAAAGATGGCGTTTCCTTAGCAATGTAATTCTTAAGATTGCTGTACTGTCAACAGCAGACAGTACTGGGTGTAAGGAAAGCAAACAAGCTTGCGACACTGACATGTCCTCTCAAGATGTACGGTGTGTTTGTTCCTGACTTCAAGAGAAAGTTTTCAGCCTCCCACAGGCTGCAGGTCTTAGTGTCTTATGCAACAGCATTGTCTCAGATGGGGAAAAACTCTGTCTAAACCAACTGTGTGACCAATCTAGAAAAGAGAATTGGTAACTGAATTCAGCTGATGGAATCCCTACTTCAGACTGGGCCAATAATGATGACTGTGATTTACTAATGTCGAATGACTTCAGTGTCCAATATGATTATTACATACCACACAGCATGGTTGTGCAGTCCACTAATGAATGAATCCATGCTGTCCCAGAGTAATCTCTTGCAAAGTGCATCTGAAACTCAACGAAGAACATGGAGATGCATCTGAAAAAGAGAAAAAGACAACTCTGATCAGACAAAACCCACACAACACAAGTTGTGGTCTTTGAAGGATCATATTGTGCCACTTCAAGCTAACAACA